GTTTATGTATGTTTTGTGTTTGTTGTAAAGAATAAAAAATTTTATTAAAAAAAAAAAGAAAATGCAGAAGGCCTCTGGTTCACCCTGTGGAACACCCTTTGCACAGGAACCTTGGAGATCAGTGTCACACATATATTATGCTTTGCAGCAAGGAATCAGGACACCAGCCAGAGCTAAATTCTAATTGGGCATAAGAAGATCTGTTTGTAGGAGACACAAGTCAGCACTTAGGTCTTTAAACTACAAGCTTGGACTGGCTTGGGAGTGGGACCTTTGTAAGTCCAAGCTGTATCCTTACTATTAGCTGGAATGTAGAAGATTCAGTGGGCTAGTTGGTAACCTCAAGGGAGTAGTAGATATTCTTGGACTGTTTCTTCATAGATGTTTTTGTTAAGGATTAAACAATAAAGACGGGATCCTTTTTAGTAACGTTGAATTATTGTGTTTTCCCATGAGTGAGGTTATGCAGCCTGAAACTACCTGGACCCAATCCAGATCTTGCAAACAGGAAATCATAAGCCTTGTGTTTGCTGGTGCCAAATGACAACATTCCCTGGGCAGGATCTCCTGCTGTTTTATAAAAATTCCCCTCAGTGTAAGGAACATTTTCAGTTCTGAATCTTACTACCATGCATAAAGGGCAGGCTGCATCTGTCAGGCATTCCAGGGAAAGTTCACCAGCTAGAAATGTCATCAAACTTAAAAAGAGTTGTCAAAACTGAATATTAGGGGGTAATGGATCCAGCTGTATTCTTGGGGGGGAGAGTATGATAAAGCTGCATTGAAGTGCTGTGGCCCAATGCTTTTGTATGAGCATCATGAAAGATGGAACTTCTGGTGCACTTTTGTCATTCTGACAAAAGCAGAAAGCTCCTGTGGACACCTGCGTGCAGTCAGCGCAGTGATCTTGCAGCCTGTCCTTCCCGTCCCATCCCGTCTCTTCCCTGGGTGTCTTAATGGTTAAGGTATTAGACTCGGGCTGGGGAGACCCAGGTTCAAGTTAACCTTCAGCCATGGAAACTCACTTGGTCTCTTAGGCCAACCAATCTCATGAGAGTTGTTGGTAAGGGGATAAAATGAAAGGATCTTCATGTCACCTGCCTTGAGTTGGAGGAAAAGTAGGAGATACATCTAGCCCCTAGTGACTTTGGAGTCAGGCAACATCCAAATCTAATGAGATAGATAGATAGATAGATAGATAGATAGATAGATAGATAGATAGATAGATAGATAGATAGAATATATCCTGTTGCTCCACCAGTGGTGGCAGTGCAAAAGAAATACAGATGAAATGGTAACATTATAATGAAACATTAAGAAGTAACAAACAATAGAAACAAGTCCTAGAGCCTAATTGAAAAAGAGCTTTGCTCACCAGCAAAAGAGCAACCTCTCTCCTTGTTCTTAACTTTATAGGAAGTACAGCTCTTACCCAGGAGCAATTTTTCACACATTACAGTTTCAAGGTGGAGGATCATGTAGGTACCAGAACACAGTTGATTTTTTTTCCCCTACCGAGATAATTGTGCTGCACTTCAGGCATCAAGGGATTGTAGCTCTGTAGAGTTCCGGTAACATGGGAAACAGTACAGGTAGTCCTCATTTAGCAACTGCTTCATTTAGTGACTATTTGCAGTTATGACTGTTGAAAAAGTAACTTTGTGACCGTCCCTTGCATTTACGAGCTTCGCAGATCTGTAAAGCAAAGGAAAGCTGAAGTAAGATCATAAGCACAATCACGGTTTCATTAGCGACTGCTTCGCTTAAGGACCAAGTTGCCAGTCCCAATTATGGTCACTAAACAAGGACTACCTATATTTCATTCTCCATTAGCACAGTCCAGGAAATCAGTGGCCCTCAAGAAGTTAACTGCACATAACCCCCAGTTCTTGTTGTCTAACATGGAGCCAAGTTCTGCTGAAAAGGATGGGACTTGCTTGCACTTATGTTTGGAAGTGGTTGTTAGAATGCAGAATGCTGGACAGTTCTTTATCGCACCATACCACAGTAGGGTGGCACCGTGAGACAACAACTGTTGAGGTTGTCCAATTCTTCACAAGGCATTCTCTTTTATGTCCTCCAATTCTTCGCAAGGCATTCTGTCTTATGGCCTTATTCTCTGTTCCCAACTCTGTCTTGCCTTTCTTCTCATGCAGGGGTAGAATTGCATCCCTGAGCTCTTGAACATACCCCATTACTAAAGACCACCCGGAAGCCTCAAATTACACCTTGCACACAGCACAGGTACCACTGGGTTGGTCTCCTTGCCAGACATACCCAATAAAACATTCTGTGCTTTTGGGAATGGGTAAATATATAGGCTTTTAAAAGCATCCCAGAAAATGCTAGAGTCCCAACTTCCGTGGAATGCCTCACATTTTCCCTCGCAATAAGCAGTTGCTGGAGGGAGATGGGTGCCTGCATCCATCCAGGGTGCATACGAGGCCTGACCAGGATATTTGATGAATGGATTCTGTGCAGTTCATTGCACCCTAGAAAGCTCTGCCGCTGCAGCCATGGCGGAAAAATCTCATTTGTAAAAGATTTGCTAAAGTTCAGAAGTTTGCAAATTGCTGAGGGGGGTGGCATTGGGGTAGGGGCAGGCCAAGATAGGGAAAAGCCATTTCCACTTTACCTCTGCAGATGGAAGTTACTTTCTCACTTTTGTGGCTTTCTTAAAAAGAGACATCTATATGGATAGTTTCTGTTACAACTTTGTCTGACAGTGCCATCTGGAAATTAAGCGTGTGTTTCTTAAAGAAATATTTCCGGTTTGGTTTTCATCTAAGCTGTAAACATTTTATTATTGGTTAATGGCTGTGGCTGCAGATATTCTGTTAAATTCCTAGCATTCCTAAGAAATGATGCTTGGAGAAGAGAACTGTAGCACATCAAAAGTGTAAGGGATAAAACAAAACATGGGAATTTTGATGTGGGAGAGGGGAATCAACAGCCTTTCTCCTCTAACCTTGCCTGTTGTTCTGATGAGGTTGTTCAAGAAAATATGTTTTCCGTTTCCTGGCTTCTGTTTTCAGTAATGGCAATATTTTAGTTTGAGGGGTGGAACAGAACACTAAGTGGAGTTTGGGGCATTGGGAAGAATTTACTATATGCACCTTAAAAATAAATAAAGTATGTCCTGAGCCAGTGTTTGAAGAAATTATTGTACTGCTCAGCAGAGCTCTCCCCCACATAAGTTGGTATATGTCTGCCTAATGTGGCTCTTGATACATTTCTGATACCTTCATCCAGCCCTTACTGTCTGCTTTGATCAAATACATAGGTTCTGCAGCAGAAGAGCAGAAGCACATGGTGGCATTCTCTGGGTGGATGGCCTTCTTGCAGCATATGCTGAGAAAGGAAAAATAGAGACTAGACCTATACAAATGTATTGAAAGGGATGTTTCAGAACATGCAGAAGAAACGCCTCCTTACAAATCATTAAAGCAGCCATGTCTTTTTCAGGGCTCACATGGCTGTTTTGGAAGATGCTCTTGGCTTCCCTGTGTGTGTCTGGATACACAGATACTTCACTGGGAGAATAGGAAGCCTGTGATAGGATTCCAGGTTTAATTTGACCTAAGATTAGTAATTTGGAAGCAGTGTTTCCTAACCTTTGTTGAATTCTAAATAGGTTGTTAGTAGTGGCTTTGAAGCATTTCTCAGCTGAAATTATGAGGATGATGACGACAACAATAGGTGGATAAAAATGCCAAATTCAGTCTAAACATCTGGCTGACTGTGTGACCAACAGTAATGATAATAATATTTTTATCCCACATTATTTTATGTATAACTCAAGGTGGTGAACATACCTAGACTCCCACTTCTATTTTCACCATGACAACAACCCTGTGAGGTGGGTTGGGCTAAGAGAGAGCGGCTGGCCCAAAGTCACCCAGCCGGCTCTCGTGCATAAGGCAGGACTAGAACTTACCATCTCCTGGCTTCTAGGCCAACATCTTCACTACACCAGACTGGCTTTACATTATGGATGTAAATGTAACACAACAGTCTAATATTTATGATGTGGTAATACTAACTCTTAATCTCTTTCTTAGAATCTTGTATTCTGTGAAACATCATGCACACAGATGGTGTTGTATGAATAAAAACACTGGTTTCCTTATAGGTAAATTAGGGAACAAATAGATGATTAAAAAAGGATAATTTGGGGGAAAATGCATTGGCCATTAAAGTATCAGCTATTGGTCTCCATGATATTCCTAGAAGTTAGAGATTTTGCCTTGTGCTTACAATTTCCGACTCTTTTCTTTTTTAGAGCCAGAATGCCACAAGCAAGAATGCGCATGAGGCCTTGGCTGGAATTGCAGATTAATTCAAATGAAATTCCTGGACTTTCTTGGATCAATAAGGTATAGAAGACTTTCATTCACATACTATCTTTTAAAAGACTAGCTTTGTGTACTTTTCTTGCTTCAAGTTTAAAACAAGGTTATTATGAGAAAATAGAACATTATACTGAGGAAAATAGACTTCAGTAGTTTGTTGCTTGATAACAAACACAACAGAAAAATGCCAAGAATTCCCTAGCCGGAAAAAATAAGATCAAATATCTCAAAGATATTTGGAGTGAAGAAAAAATATTGAAAAGAACTTGAAAGTGCAAATAGAATAAATATTGACTTTATTTTTAAAATTAATTTGGCAAGTTACTCAGTTTGAACTTTACGTATCTTTTAATATAGCTAAGATAACTTAATAACTTGACAATATATACTTACTCTTTTCTAGCTTTTTAAAATGCCAAATAGTTGAAATGTGTCAGAAGTTCAGGCAGAGCTAACAGGCCCATTTCTCTGTGGTTATATCCAGAATATTTACGTATGTTACCATAAACTTTAGGGAAAGAAATCAAGATGTCTTTTGTTCATTTTGTTTTATAGAGCACCGGGTTATGCAATGCTATGATATTGCATTCAAGGCTATATGTAGTAGACAAGACAAATTCCATACAAAATAATCCAGTGGAAATGCAGGCAGGTTGCACTTGGTTAATTCACAAGTTGGGGATTGTTTTTTATTTTCAGCTTCCTACCGTTTTCTTGATTTTGTTTTCTCCGTACAGTTCAGTGATGCTTATTCAGAACTGTATTTTTCAACTGCAGGAAGAAAAGTTGTTCCAGATCCCTTGGAAACATGCAGCTAAGCATGGGTGGGAACTAGAAAAAGATGCCTGTCTTTTCAAAAACTGGGCCATTCATACTGGTATGTACTGTTTTGCCCTGGTGATAGCAAAAGGTTCTAGAGACTCATACCATGATTGTATTTGGGGGAGGAATAAACTTATTGACAGCAGCAAAAGGGATCCCGCCCTTTTGCCCTGCCTCTTTGAGCAAAGAGTTTGTGGTTCCTTCCTGAGTATCTGTGGTCAGTGTACTGAGTAGGGTGTTGCTTGCATGTAAAAGGTTCACATATCAGAATGCGCAGGAGGACAAGGGCAGTGCTTTCTTAAACTTGCAACATTTTTCAGGCTTGCATAGAAGCCTGAAAAAAATGATGAGCCATTTTAAGCAGAACTTGCTCCTCTGTTTCAAAGCACCTCTTCTAAATAGTTTTGGAAGCAAGGACAGCCCCAGCACCTACTAATCGAAGCAACTGGAAAGACTCCTAAAAGACTATATTTTATCCTGTAACTAGCTGACAGTGTGTTCAGCTACTGACTTGCACGTATGCAGGTACTTGTAGCACGCAGAGGCCTATTAGTTTGTGCTTGTCAGAGTTATAAGCTCTGTAGAGTTTTGGCTGCCACAGTCTTGATGAATGGCTGATGAGAGAAAATGGGAATCTGTTTCCAAGCCTATCATCTTGAGAGATAATGATGGGCTGGTCATTTACTTTCAGTACTATGGAGTGGCATTTCTGGGTTTGCCACTAAATACAACCCTGGCATGCTGACAAAAGTCTCTCTTTGTGAGGCACAACCACCTTTTTCCTCGGTTACATTATTTGCACACTTAAAACCCCTGGCACTAATAATGTGGGAAGTTATTGGCCTTCTTCAGTGAGCATTCTAGATTTGGACTTGAATTTCCTAAGTCCAAGTAGGCTTCTCAGTTTTGGTGTCCTCCAGATACCCTGGAAGTACAACTCTTAGGTTTCCAAAAGTTATTGAATCTCCCTAATATATGTTATTATAAAAAGGTGATGATGATAATATTATAACTGCCTTTTTGAGCCTTTGTGCATTTTTCCAGTTTTTTTCTTTGATTTTTGATCACAAAGAATGGCTCTTGTATGTTGAAAGAGTTTGATGGTGTTCCAAATTTATGTATTTATTTATACTTATTTATTAAACAAGCACGTATTGCTGCCCATCTTAATCAATGTAACTCAAAATGGCAAATAAAAAAAATAAAAACACAACCACCACCACCACCACCAATTAAAGACCTAGTTGAGGATCCTGAAACATTTTCCAACAGTATCAAACCAAAAATCTCCAACACCATAAACCAAAGCACACACCTGCCAGGCTCCACTAACATTCCAGCCCCAATACCTGGGGGAAAAGCCAAGTCTTCAGGGCCTTCAAGAAAGTCATCAGGGTCAAGGCCATCTGAATCTCATTTCTGTACCAATTGTCAAGGCATGACCCACAAGCAATAAACAAATAGGAATATGTTTATAGGAACACTGTGGGTTGGATATAGATTGAGTCATATGTAGATTGGGCCCATTAGAATCAGTGGGTTAATTCAATGATATCTAACTTCTGATGTCAGTTGATACCTTTAACAGCTAAGGTTTGTGTCAACAGTACATCTGTATGTGTGAATTACACTGAGGTCACAGGCTGAAAGAAGCCAGTGTCAAGCATACAGATGTAACAGTTGGTTCCTCTCAGTACTTAGTGTAACATGCCATAATGAGATTTAGGATCCTGCCAGCAAGATGTGGCCTTTATTTTTTACATACCTAGATTTATACCATCTGTCTTTTTATAGGGAGATACAAAGAAGGTGATGTACAGCCTGACCCAAAAACATGGAAGGCAAATTTCCGTTGTGCCATGAATTCCTTGCCTGACATTCAAGAGGTGAAGGATCAGAGCATTAGCAAAGGTTCCAGTGCTATCCGAGTCTATAGGATGCTGAAGCCCTCAGTGAAATCACAGAGAAAAGGTATTGCTCAAAACTTAAGAAGGATAGGTATATTTTTCAATACTTGAAATATAAAATTTGGTTCCAGTGTTGCTTGAAGGGCAGCTATCTCAGCAGTTTTATGGTTAATATGGTTTGGTGAAGGTGGCCATACACATCTGCATTTGCAGAATTGCAGTTTAAATGGTTCTCTTAGAAGTTGCAGCTGCTTTCTCTGGATCAACCTGGGTGATGGCTGGCTACCAGCTTTGCTTATTTGTAAAGATAATTAGATAGATTTATAGAGGATAACTATGTTTTGCTTTCTGGGTTATTGACAGCTGCCAGTACCAGTCACTGTGAAAATGAGTCATTAGGGGACGACAGGAGGAATAAGTGATTGCCCTCAAGTCTTGCTTTTGGACTTTTTCTAGCCATCAGCTTGCTAACACGGGGAAAGGATGTTTAGCTAGATGGATCTTTGGTCCATAGAAAGGGATCTTGTTAGGCCTTTAGGTTCTTAAAGTTCACTATCAATCCACTAGAAAACATATTCTAGGCAGCAGGAGCTACCTAGAATCATTTCCAAATGGATGACGGTTGTCTCCATAACTATTGTCACATAGCCAGCCAATATTATAGGTATAAGATGGACAGTGCCTAAATTGTCTAAGAGTTGCATTGTCTATAGCTCACTCTCTTTTACAAATGTGTTTATTCTAAGCCTGTGTTTTTCCTTTTTTTCAAGCAGAAAAAAAGTCAAAGTCTCTAAAAAACAAGAGCCCAAGAAAGGTATGTATGTGTTTGTTTAAAAGATTTGTATGGCCACCCATCTAAAAAAGCAACCCTGGGCAGCTCACAACAACAATAAAATCCAGAACTATAAGAATGATAAATCATAAAACCATAAAACATACCATAAAAACCTAAAGCATGCAAAACCATACATACTAGGCATGTATTTTCTTCCATAGTTGAAGTAAAACATGCATGTGAAATATTAAAAGGGTACAGATTCATGGGTATCTGCAGGGGAGAAGCCACAATCAGCAGAGTGGCCGGCTCAACGTTATGGTAGAGTAGAATAGAACGTGTAGATCTGAACCCCACTCCACTCCTGGAGATGCCACTGCCAGCTTTCATACAGTGGGAGTGTCACAGCTCTCTGCACCCACCAAAAATCTTCCTGCTGGGAATATGTTGTGGGAGGTACAAGAGGACTTGTGCTGGCAGAAATCATTCTTGTTGAGGGAAATAGAGAAGCGTCTTGGGACTCAGATGATGCCACTTGTCTTTAGCTTCTTGATCACTTTTTATCAGTTAACTAATTCTTTTTTTTTTTTAAGGGAAAGCTTTTATTCCTTCTGCCAAATTATTGGCGGTAGTGAAATCTTTCAAAATAAAAATCCGTTTGGTTCCCAGCTTTCTCTACCATCCCATTCAGATTTTACCTATAGACAATTGCCATCTAAAGCTTTAGAAGAAAAAGAAGAGCAGGTCATTTCAATACATGAAAACAAATCTCAAACAAGGAAAGGAAGGCTCCGAAAATTTAGTTCTGCCAAAAGCTGTGCAGAAAATACCTCCCAGAAGGATAATACCGGTTACAATGAAATGGAAACATTCACATGTCTTGACCCTAAAAGACGTACATTGACATTTTGCCATAAAAGAGGTCCTTCGTCTTTTGCAGTCACTGGACGATATCAAGGCAGAAGAGACAGCTGAAGCAACAAACAGCATTCAGTTACCCGATGACCATAGCGGCTACGTGCTTAACAGCTACCCAGCAGAGGAAATGGAAGTGGGGAGCACGTTAGGTGAGAAGCAATTTTAGTCTGTTGGGTGGCTTTCACAAGAAAAAGCCAGGCCTGCTGAGCCCGTTTTTAAGATTGCTTGAATGAAAAACACCAAGGCTGTCTTGGTGTCTTAGAAAGGTGTCTTTTCTTTTTTTACTGTATTTATTCTACACTGACAAATTCTTGACAAACTGTTGAAGAACTGCTAAAAACTGAAGAAAATGAAAAGGCTGGATTTGTATAACCAGCTGAAATGGGGTTGATTAGGTTTGTGACTGAGTGTGTTGTAGGAACTCAGCCATTAAGTTAGCATTTGTGTGAAGTTGTCAGATCATCATTTTAAGCCGTAATATCAGTTATTTGTCTGGGCATAGCATCTCATGGTTTGTTCATGGGGGGGCGGTCAACCCAAGCCATTGTCCGTTTGTGGGAAACAAAATGGCTTCCCTAAATTTTAGGACAATCTTAGGGGGGAAAAACCGTATTGCATTATAAATCACATACTTTCTATGGACTTTTCAGGTCTTTCCACATGTGAGTTAAACAATTCTGACTTCAGGAATTGCCAACTGGAGGAATTGCCCACCATTCAGGTGCCTGACAGCACAAATGATGTATATGACATATACCAACTTCAAGTTTCACCCATCACTTCCTCTTCTGATGGTTGGTATTTAATTGTTCAGAACTAGTGGACAGCTGATTGATCATAATTGTATGGGGAACAGATCCAAGAATATGGCAGGGTTTAGGTCAGCTGCCCAGATGGGTTGGACTTTATAGCTCCCATAATTACCTAGAAAATATGGTTTTCAGCTCACAGGAGCTGAAATTCAGATTAAGGAAGGCTGTTGAGGTTGACTGTCTACCCTCTACCTTTTTAAAAAGTCAAAGCTTTCTATGTAGTCTCATCCAATGTATTCTTACTTAGAAGTATGTTTTTTCAGGTGCTGTAATGATATGAAAGTTTTTTTAAATTTTAGTTCCTTTCAGGCCTGACCCAGTGAAAGTTAAGCACATGTAAATCTCATTGATTTTATTGAGAGAATGGGAATATATACCTAAATCTCTCCTGTTGAAAAAAATGGGACTTATAGATGCCTAATTACAACCTGCCTTTTGCAGTAAAAGAATTCTATATGTTAAGCAGGTGTGAGACATTACTTGTGTAAATATAATAAATAAATTATCCAATGCTATATTTTGTCACTGACTAGAAATAATAAACGTTATTGTTGATAATAGAAAACTGGTAAATAAACATTTAGTAAACAAGGATTCTGAGTTTCATTGGGTATGCTTCTTTCCTCTCCCTTCCCTCTCTGATGGCTTCATATAACCTCACAACTGATGAAGATGAGGATAACTTTAATTCTCCACTTTACCAGGTAAGACTCTCTCTCTCTCTCTCTCCCTCTCCCTCTCCCTCTCCCTCTCACTGAATAATTTTGGCATTGGGATAATCCATGCAGTGAATAGGGCAATAATTCATGGGAGTGGGCATGCTGTGTGCAAGGGAGTTTCCATTTTTCATGGTTGGGGAGGAACACTTTAGTGTGTCTTTCTTTGCTTCTGAATCACATTAAATCATAGAGATCCATGTAACTTAAGATTGCAACTGCAATCTTGTTGTATAACCTGCATCTTAGAAAGGAATTAACCATGTCTTTGAATTGAACCAGAAAATAATTCGTTCAGTTGATTCACATCTTTTTTGTTTTGGTCTCCTAGCAAATCCTTAACAGCTCTGATTGGCATCAAAACTGCATTGGCGGAAAAGGGTTTCTAATAAATGAAGCTGGAATGCAAAATCTCTGCTTTGACTTGACCTTTCAAGAACAAGATACTGCCTTTGATTCAACAAACATGGGTATAAACATTTTACCTATACCTTCAGATTGTAGAAATTTATCTGTCTCTCTTTATCTCATCAGAGTATTACTGAATAATAAATGTCCTTTGTCACATGTTAGGGCCTTCACTCTGATAGTTCTACTCACAAATACCTTCAGGCCAGCATTATAGAGCCATGCATTGCTGTTCTCATATTGCCCTATCATAACAGGGGTGCTGGGGTACATGTGCTGCATTTCATGGAAGTAAATGCTGATTGGAATGATGATGATTGTGGCTAAGATTTTGCTACCCGTATTTAGTCACAGACCTCTATCCACTCTCCCAGGCTAATGAGAGCTCCACTGGGAAAGAGAAGATCATCATACACATATATGCTTAGTAACGGTTATGGGAGTTCCATTGAACTTGTGATAGATTCTCCACTATATTTAAGTTTCCAGGGAAACCACATTCTAAATGTTGACTTTTCTTTTTTCTGCAGAAGTAATTCCACTTGACTCAAAGCCCAGCCTGGAATTCTCTTTGTTGGAGTCCCTACGACCGACCAGTTTGCCACCTATACCTTGTGGCATGTAAACCTTTTTATCACTAGGCTTGTACTGCTTTATTTTGGATGTCATACGCATAACTGGCACATTGATCAGTTGTTGACACTCTTCAAGTTTAGAATCGAAAAGTCCAAGCCATGTGTGCATATGTGTGTAGGAATATCTTTGTGATAAAACTGCACTTCATGTGCCTAACTACATTATGAGCCAGTTAAGGCGTGTTTGCTGCTTTTCCCCCCTGTTCATCCATTAGTAGGACCAGACATAAATAATTTTAAACATGGAGAAAATAAAAACAGAAGCTTTGTACTGTTGGTAAATTGACATACATTTTAAGCCCATCCAGAGTGTAGCTTAACATTACCCATTGGAAAATTGGTGAAGCACTTTGTGAATTCTAGTTTAACTATTTGTCTCTGAGCATTCAACCAGATATTTCTTGGTTACCAACTGTTTAGCATAAGAAACTGTGAAAATCAGATACGTTCTTTGTTCTGTATATTAATTCTTCAGAATTTTATTTATAAGGCATTCCACTGGTTACTTTGGACATATTTTAGATTATTGCCACATGACATTTTTTCCAGTGAAAATATGCATTAAAGCTGGTTGGTGAACATATGGATTATTTGCATTGTGCTTTTCAAAATATCAACTGAATAGGTATTGTGGAGAGTCTAAAAAATGCATAATAGGGTTATACCAACTAAACCACAAAATAAAAAAAAAAGGATTTGGCAAAGTGTCAGACTACTAGGCTTCAATTTAAATTCTTGTACATTCTTTTCCTTGTACATACGTTTTTGTATATAAAATTTACAATTATTTTAATAAAAGATTATATTATATATGTATATATGTTAAGTTTTCTTTTTTTATTACACATCACTGATAAAGGAATTAGGAAACTATTTTCTTAGTTTGACTAAGAATTTCTGTATACCAGACTCTTTAGTGCTGCTAAGACACTGAAGACATTTCTTCATTGAAAATGAAGACATTTTCGTCAAT